ATCTGATGAGAACTATTTTCTTTTTATTCAACGTGTTCGTAGAAATAATCTATTACAGACATGTCAACTTTAAGTTTTAGGTATTCATCTGTAATACTTAGTTGAAAACGAGGGATTATCTAGGTAAAGAAAATGAATTTTAAATCAACACTTTTCTATATTTAGTCTTTTTTTTCGACATGTGATTCATTTTGATACTTGATAATTAATGTTTAAATGTCTCAAAAGGAGTACTTCGAAAAATATTTATTTTACTATAATATCGTAACTAATAGAAATTATTTTATCTCGTTTAGCCATTTTTAATCGATGGTTACAAATTTGATTTACGTGTATATGTTGCTGTAACATCTTGTGATCCATTTCGAATTTTTGTTTATAAAGATGGTCTAGCTCGTTTTACAACTCATAATTATGAAGAACCATCCAGTTCTAATTGCGTATGCTAATTTATTGTGCTATTCATTTTCTATTCGATAATTCTCTATTATTTTTTTTAGAAAGATATTTTTATGCATTTAACAAATTATGCTATTCAAAAACGTTCGGATGATTTTATTCGTGATGAAGATACTGGTACTAAACGGTAATTCATACAGAGAGGAAAAAAAATTTTAAATATTGATCTGTTATCTTCTTCTAGTCGAATAACAACAATTAATCGTTGGTTAGTCGAACATGGTTATGATATAGTTAAATTATGGGCAGATATTGATGATGTTATTATAAAAGTTATGATTTCTGCTCATGCTGTTCTTAAACATAATTACCGTGCCTGTTTTCCTCATCATTATCGTGGTAGTGCCTGTTTTGAAATTCTTGGTTTTGATATTTTACTTGATCGTAAATTAAAACCTTATGTTCTTGAAGTAAGATAATAAATAAAGATTAAACTAAAATTCATCTTTTTTTATTTATTTAAGGTAAATCATTCTCCAAGTTTTACTACAGATTCAAAATTAGATCGTGAAATAAAAGATGCACTTATATATGATACTATACTTCTATTAAATATGCCTGCAGCTGATAAAAGACGATTTATTGAAGAAGAAAGACGACGTGTTAAAGAAAGACTTTTTCAAAAAATAAATAAAAAAGATAGTAAATTTCGTGAAGAACAAGAAGATCTTGCTCAACAATGGCAAAAAGAAATTGAAAGTTGGGAAAATGAACATATGGGAAATTATCGAAGAATATATCCTATACCTGATGAAACAGAAAAATATGATCTATTTTTTCTTCAAGCAAGTACACTTTATTCGGAAACAGCTGCATCAAAAGCAAGAAGTGAAGTGGCAAAGTAATTTTTTTTCCAAATATGTATAATAATACCTTTGTTTTATTAGAGCACAAATTGATGAAATACAAAAGAAACAAGATAAATTTAATTTACTTAAAAATAGTAAATTAGGTCCAAGTCCAAGTATGAATAATTTAAAAGAAGCATACGGTGAGAGTCCACTGAAAAGATCTTTACCTATTGTTAAATCATCAAGAAGTTCATCATTTAATCGAATTCAATTAAAACGTCTTACAGCTGTAAAATATTTTTAATTCTTTTGATGTTTTATAAAAAAAATCAATATTGTCTTTGTTGACATAGAATATGAGTATGACAACGCCACATCATCAATCTGATGCTGATTCATCGAAAGCTCTTGATATTGATGAAACTGAAGAGATAGAACGATTGTTATTACTTAAACATCGAGAAACACTTATTCGAACGATGGGTAAATGAATAAAAGACAACTTTAATAAATATAATTTGTTGTATATGTAAATTTAAAAAAGGTATTATTGATCTATGTCATCGAATGTTAGCAAACTCTAGTGGCGTCGTGCCGAATACACTAGCAGAAAACAATATAATTACAGAATCACTTGCACAACGTCGTATGACGGTTAGTATAAAATTGCAAATTTGAAATAGCTGATGTACTGATTTGAGAAAATGAAAAGCACGGTTACATATGATAAAGATATTTTCTCTAGAGAAACTCTTTCACAATCGAACCATAATTAAATGTTAAAAACTTCTATTACCTGCTCTTAATCGTAGTACATTAGTCTTAGAAAGATCAATGCATATTATTTTATTAAATACTTAATTATTTCTAGCAACAAGTTGAAGGAATTGACACATCTCAAAATATCTCTTTTCTTCAATATGGAAATTCAAAAATGCCGAATACTCTACTAAATCGTCATTATTCTGTAAATGGTCCATCAAATCCAATACTTCAACAAGGTTTTTCTACTCACACATCAAAATTCGAACCACGTATGGTACGACATATAGATATATTCAATGATAAAGTTAGTAATATATTACAAAATAACAAAAAAAGTAATTCTTCTATTCATTCATAAAGGTAATTCAACCTCAAAATGGATCACTCTACAATCGTTATCAACAAGCATTACGTTTAGCAGAAAATAATCAACAATCAAGTCGTTTGTTTCTTCAAACAAATGGATTATCATCAACTACAACTAATCTGTTACATAAAACACCTATTGCAACAACAAATTTATCATTTGATCCATCAATACGAACTAAAAGTGCGAATACAGTATCTCGGCAACGTTCAGGTCTGTTAAGTTAAAATGGATCTACACACAATTAAATGCACTTTTACACGTATTGTTTTGCTTGTTATTTTTTTATTTATTTAATATACACATTCACACGAATCAAAATCGATTCGACAAAAACCGGTATGTTAAATCAATATTGTAAAAATTTCATGTTTTCTTCTAATCAAAAGATCTTGGTATACAGAAATGTTATACTAACTTTGTCGAGATATCATTACTTTATACCAATAAGATATAATTAACTGATTTTCATTTCATTAACATCTTCAACATGAAATTCAAAAATCAATAAAACAGTAATAAACTTATTGGGTGTGTATTAGAATAACAATGTTTTACTATACTGATTTAACTTTTGATCTATTAAAAATTATAATATTTTGCCAAATAATATAGTTGATCTTAAAATTAGTTGAATTTGATTTCGAAATCTAGAGTTAACAACTTTTGTATATTAGCATGACTCGGTATGAGTAGATTACTTTCGATTCCTATAATATTAAGACTAGAACTATTGATCTTATTGATACTTGATTGTCTAAATAAAATAAACAATGTTCGCAATCTAATGAGTCACAATGTGCTAGTAAACACTTAGACACGAATAGAGACAAAATGTTTACTGAGAAAGAAAGTTCATCGAAATGATTAATTATCAATTCGTCACATTGATTTCAATAAATTAAAGTTGTGATATTTCAGATCATATAATACAAGTGAGTTTTCTTTTGGCCTAAAATTCATACTATTCTATGACATTTTGAAACATCTCCGCTCAGTTTAGTAGTATAAAACGAACATTAATATAACTAAAATATCTCTGAAGATGACATATAAACTAAAGATTTGTATTCTATATAAATTACAAAAATTAATCCATATATGTTTTTAATCGAAAAGATTTCGTATGATAATGTATATACATATATTTCTAATTTAGTAAGTAAATCTACTAACTGCATATGAATTCTTGTTTTCGATAGTATGCAAAATTTATGATTATTATTTATTTTAGGCAACCGTCATTTAAGCTCGTATGATTCTAATGATAATAATAGTCTTCCAAAACAAGACATAGTTACTAATGGACCTTTAATATCAATTGGATATCGATTAAAATCATTTTCGTAACCTTACAAATTTTTTAAAATAATTTAATTTAAATAAAAATGTCACTCATAAATATATTCTATCATTCACATCAAAATGAGCTTGAACATGAACGTTTTCTTTGCCATTATTTTGCAAGAATGTACTATCCCGGTTTTTGTCATTCGTTTTTCTTTTCCAGTTCCTTTTTTTTTCTCACATATTCATATCTGAGCGTGCCTTATAGACAGATGATGATTTGTTTGTTTTGTTTTTTTAATGTTCATAGTTGCACTTTTTTGTGAATGTGTGTGAGAAAAGACATCTGCCTTTCGCAAATTTTATTTATTTGAAGGATATTTTTGTTATTAAATTCCATGACAAATAAACATGAATCGAATACTCATACATACTCAATACTATTTACAATGAAAACAATGTTTAATTCATGGTAATAGTTTTTATAAATAAAGATTTGCATGTGTATGTGATCCGAGATACTGTTTATTTACCATCTTCAGACATTAAACTAACTATGTTGTATAATATTTAAAAAGTCCGATCATGATGGGTTCATTTGCTTCTTTTATCAAACATCTGAAAACATATGTGTGATGCTTCGTTATTAAGATATCACAGTGCTATTTCTTCGACTGTAAGGCTAAAGTCTAGAAATAAAACTTTACCTGCATTTATCTGTCTGTATCATGACTACTATGAACATGAATTAACTACGTGCTGAATGAATGAGTATTAAACTAGAATTCTTTTATATCAGGAACGAAACAATGCAATCTAAAAGTAATGTCGCCAAGATCTTATTTACTTATAGTAAGTTCCAAAAAAATTTATTTTTCATGTAGTAATCTTAGGTGAGGTTCGATCAAAATACACGGTAACACATAGAGTATCACTTTTTCTAGTACTAAATGAGAACATTGAATTATGTATTTATTTTGAATGGTTTATTTTAATATTTTCTAAAAAAATTAACTTTAAATTGAAAAATTTTCAAAAATACATAATACTCATAAAAATATTCATTCTAATTAATTAATGACGTAATTTAAGTTCCACATGAGCACCATTTCCAGAACGCAGTATGAGTTCAAATGAAAGGTTTAAATCATCCGGTAATTGAGAAGTTTTAAGTTTAAATCGTCTTAATATCGATGATAAAATTACTTTTTCTTCTAACATTGCAAATCGTTGTCCAATGCAATTTCTTGAACCAGCTGAAAATGGTATATATGCATAAGGTGATCTACCAACACTATTCTCAGGTAAAAATCTATCGGGATCAAATCGATCTGGATCAGGAAAGTTTTGTGGATCACGATGAATATAATAAATAAACATAACAGCTGTTGTACCTCGTAAAAGTTTATAATCATCTATATATAAAATACAAAAGTCAAATATTCCAACGAACACTTAAATTCACTTACGATACATAAAATCTTCTTGTATTTCTCTTGCAATGAATGGAACCGAAGGATATAATCGAAGACTCTCTTTTATAACACATTCCAAATATTCTAACTCATTAAGATCTTCGATTGTGCATGGACGATCATAATCATCTCCAAATACTCGATCCATTTCTTCATGTAGTTTTTGTTGAACTTGGGGATGTGATGCGATCATAAAACAAGTAAAGTTCATTGATGCTGCTGTTGTATCGTGTCCCTTAAATAATCACATTTATCAACTATATATTCTATATAAATTTTATACTTCAAACATGAATGTATCAACTTCTTCTTGAATATCAACAAGTGTTAAGTGTTCATCATGCATTTGTTTCAGAAGTAAGTCTAAATAAAAAAAAGATTGATTATATCTATAAAATGAATAAAGTAACTAATTATTACCAAGAAATGCAGAACGTTTTCCATGAGTTTTGTTTGCATGAAAATCTTGTGCACGATCATCAATAACTTTTTGCGTGAATTGATGAACTACATTTAAACATCGATTATGTTCTCTTCCTTCAGGTAACAAATTAAATATAAAATCAGGCCACATCCATGGCATACGTTGTCGTTTTAGTATCAGATCTGTTAGCCTAAATTAATTACAATTGAGTGTTTTTCTCTCTGAAAGGATTTTGTTTACTTCAACACAGCATCGACATATTCAGAGTTTCTTTGATGTTGTGCACCTATATTTAAGCCCAT